CCTTCAGCTCCCTATTCTTCCCTTCAGCTCCCCATCTGCCTTTAACACCATGGCTCCGCTCAGGGCCCCTATCTCCCCTCAGTGCTAGTGCTCCTCTCAGCACCCGACTTTCCTCGGCAACTCAGTTCCCCTCAGCACCCCCAGCTCCCCTCAAAACCCCATCTCCCTTCAGTTCTCCATCTCCCCTCAGCGCTCCTGACTCCCCTCAGCACCCTGGCTCCTTCTCAACACCTGGCCTCCCTCAGTCCCTGGCTCCCCTTACACTTGAAAGTACACAGAAATGTGTATTCCACATTTCGCAACACCCTCAGCGGGTTCCCTCAGTGTCCCATCTCCAGTTTGGACAACACCCTCAGGCACATGGTGGGATTCTTGTAGGGCCAGGAGTTGGACTGGATGATCCTGATGGGTCCCTTCCAACTCAGGATATTCTATGATTCTATGCCTCTCCCTTCAGTTCCCCATCTCCCCTCAGCACCATGGCCCCCCCTCAACCCCTTACTCCCCTCAAAATCCTTCCCTTAGCACTGCCATGGCTGCAGCGCTTGCCCAGAGCATCTCTGCCCACCCCAGGGTGGCCATTCCAGCCTTCTGGTCTCATCTAGGGCCTGGCTGGGTTGTGCAGAAAAAAAGGTTTCTGTTAAAAATCCCTGGGGCAGCTTGCTTTTTAACACGTGTTGGAGACAGGGATCTATAACCTCAGGAGCCCCCTCTAAATCCACTCGCCCCACTGGAGCACCTTGTCCCTCTCTGTGTGTCCCTCCTTCATAACGTCTGTGAAGATCATGTGGAGATTTACTCACCCGGGGAACTCCTCCCCGAGGAGTGCTGGGTTCAGAGGCACTGAAACTACAACCCACATTCCTACTGCAGTCATGCAGAAAGTTAAAAGCCTCCGCTTCCTTCCAGGGTTCCCCCGTGCCCACAGGGGTCTGCCAGCCTCGACTCCCATCCAAAGGCTGAGGAGCTAACGGGAAGGACACTGCTTATTATGCAGGGGAGGCGAAGCAGAAAGATCTGCTGTGTCTACGAGGAGCCTGTTAAATCAGCACAGAAGGGGCTGCCTTCCCTTAGACTGTCAGCTCTGGCTGGACAGACTGTGGTTATTCATGTGACAAGTGTGGCTCCATCACTGTCTCTCCCAGCTATCGCTATTCCCCAAATCATTTCTCTCAGGAAAGCCTGTTTGCATTGTTATTACCAGGATCCTTCCCGGCTGCCGAGAGCCCTTGTTGGTGCCTCTGACATGGGAGCAAGGAACCAAACCCGGGCTGACAGTTGGAAGCACCTGGATTTCAGTGCTCGTGCTGCCTGATTGCTGTAGGCAAAGACCCTGTGCCTGTCTGCACAGCAGGGATAATGTTGACACTTCCCTGTCTGGCACAGAGGGAGTAAATCACCTGCATAAGAGCACAAATGAAGCTTCCTCCTCACCTAAATACCCTACAGCAATCATGCTTTTCCCTGTGCTTTTCCACGTTAATTCTGTGCCTGCCATACACCCTCACTTACTGCTTATCCCAAGATGTCTGCTGCACCCAAGTCCTTCCCTGGAGATGACATTCCCCAGACATTTGTCAGCTCATCTGCTGTGCTCCAGCATTCCTGCCATAGTACACGTGGCTTTGGACCAGCTGGAAGTTTTGGGCCACACTTAGGATTGGCCTCAAAGTGGTAAATTCCTGCCTGGGATCAAAAACCCTGTTAATTAGCAAGGTAATTTGGCAAGGGAGCCAAACAGCTCTGCTCCAAGAGAATCTGGGATGCTACAAGGGCGTCTGTGGAGCACATTGTCCCTGAGCAGTGAGTTGCTGAGCTCTGGTCCCTGGCAGGTTGTGGGCAGGCATGAAGATGCTTTAGCATCTCCCTGACACTTGTTTTGTGGAGCTTCCAGAGGGAAAGGACCCCTCTTCCCATTTCACTGTTGGGAAAGCAGGGCCAGAGGAAGAAAGGAGAGATGTTATACTGGTGTAAAACAAGATTATATTGAAATTAACTGTTCCTGTCTGAGACAAGCTGGGTATGAGGCATTTTTAAAGGGCTGTCGCTGCCCATCTGTAGCAGAGACTGTCTCGCTTTGATGATTTCACTAGAAAAATCACACTCTTGACCGAAATAGAGAAACCTGAACAAGACTTGTGTGTGGGACGGATCTCCCAGACAGTGCTCTGCCAGCTCAGCCCTACGTCCTCTGCAGCGCAAGAGCACAGACTGTAACTAATTGTGGGAAGGTTTCAGCTCAAAAGCTAATGTGAGACAGGCCTGAATTACCAGTAGTGCAGACACAGAGAGACAGAGAGCAAAACCATCTGGAGTTCCTGGGAAAAGCATCGGCTTTGCAACGTGCTGATGGGGCAGAAATGACTCTTCATTGCCTTATATGAGGAAAATCATGATACAAACAGGGCTGGGGGAGGCCAGGGTAAATCCAAGTGACTTCAGAGCCATCTTCCCTCCTCCCAAGCTGCTCAGACCTCTTGCCAGTCTTTATATGTTTGAGGGAATTCAGTGCTTTTATGGAGCTCAGAGACACAGAATTCCAACTGTCCGGACCCTGCCGTGGTCCAGACATACCAGCTATTTAAAAATAAGTTCTCTGTGGCCAAGGTGTTTCTCCGTGGTGAGTTTTGATAGCCCTTGCCAAGAGCAGAGGCTCCTGCTCAGCAAGTTCCTGACTAGCAGTTTGAACCCGGTAGTTTGTTTTGATTCAAACTGGGGGGGGAAAAAAACCAACAACCCAGCCAGGAACTGGGGCTGGGAAGCCAGGAAGGAGAGGGCAGGGAAACAAGCTGCCAGGGAGGAGAGGAAAGAGGCTGATTGGAAAGTCGCCGGATTGGGAGTGAGATCAGATCAGCCCCTCCCCGGGGCTGCAAGGAAACAGTCACCGGTCTGACTGTTTAACGCAGGGATATTTGAAAAGATAAACCAAAAACAAACAAAAGAAAAAAAAATATAGGAAGAGGGGAATTCAAATGCTGCAGCGAATCATTCCGCAAATCCCAGCTCCAACAGGCAAATTTGCTTCTGCTTATGCTGGCAGAAAGCTGGAAGACTGCTGACTTCCGACCCCGCTGCTTAAATCAGGGCAGGATTTGGCACAGGCGACTTTTAAAGCTGCCTTAAAATGCCATATCTCCCAGGAAGGCTTCCAGGGAAAAGGCTTTCTCCAGGCGCTGGTTGGAGCCACCCCACACCGCCCAGTGCCGTTCCCAGCCTGGATGGAGCCACTGGGGGAGGCTGAGCTGGGCTGAACCTGCTTTTGGGAGGCACAGGGCCTCTTTCCAGAGAAACACCGTGGCCACCCACAGCCCAAAACCCCCCTGCAAAGCAAGTGACAGCTCTGCCTCTGTCGAGGAGGAAGAGTCTCTGGTGATGTAATGAAAATTCCCCTTGGTAATTCAGAGAGTGAAAGCAGAGGGTGCCTGCTGGGAAGGGATTGTGAAACTCAGACTGGGAGTATTTGCATGGAGGAACTGGGGGTGTGCCTGGCTGGGAATATCGCTGTGGTGGGACACTGGCAGGAGGCCCCAGATAAAACAGAAACTCCAGCTCCTACCACATCCCCTTTGCCCACCCCCTGCCTTTCCTGATTACTCGACTATCACAGGTGTGGTAAATACCTGTTGCTCTGATCCCTGGCCTGCAGGACACAGAGGGGTGTTGAAACAGCTATTTCAAGGCACACAAAGATTCAATCTGCCTGAAACCTCCGGGTCATTCAGGCACAGACGTGTGAAACCCTCCCCAGCACAGACTGTTTTCTCTAGAATTCTGTGGGTGTCCTCGGGGTTTCTTCCACTTTTCACAGGCAGGGATGGGAGGGGTTACTCACGGGGCACAGGCTGTGTTGTAAAGCAGATAGAGTTTAGAGGAAATCCAGCTCGTGTCGCTGCTCTCTGAAATAGCCACAGACACGAGGAAATGAGGGAAGGAGGGGAACAGCTTTAC